GAGAGAGAGAGAGAGAGAGAGAGAGAGAGAGAGAGAGAGAGAGAGAGAGAGAGAAGAAGAAGAAGAAGAAGCAGGAGAAAGAAGAAGAATCCACCAATCATGTGGAGGGGGAAGAAGAAGAAGAAAAGAGGAGGAAAGTGACACATATCAAACTAACGAGGAGGAGGAGGAGGGGGAAAGCATGTCCCTTGCAGATCACAAGAAACAGAAGAACATCATATCCCTGGCACATCAACGTATGTCACCGTGTCTTGATTTTTTCTTTTCTTGAAAAGAGATTTGGAAGACGCAAGAGCAATTTTTTTTTTTTTATAAAGGGACTTAGGGAAGAAGAAAAATGTAGAAGTACCTGGTGCCGGTGCAAGGAATATGAGTGTGAGCGATATACATAAAACCAAGTTGCGAAATCACACAGCTGAGCAAGTAGTAGTATCCCAAGTAGAGAGTACAAATGCACCGAGAAAACCATCCATAAAGAGCAATACAATGAAATATTGAGCCAATGTCCAAGCCCGTAGGCCACACCAACACAGTATCCAGAGTCACTCTCTCTGTCTGGTGCACAGCGCCCAGCCTACTCTACCATACTATCCTACGCTCCAGCTGGTTCACACAACAGGATCACTTCGGCTCACGAAGACCAATGTACATGACTGTCCACACCATCGGCGACCTCTCTTCATGTACCAGGTACGTATCTCGTCACCCTCAATCAAACCTTGATTATCCCACACAGCGCCTCGCTCCCTGAAGACCACCCGATCATCCGCTATACCCCCTGGCGCCTAGCAGCCGGGCTATGGCCGCCTGCGCCCCGCTGCCCTGCAGCGCCCCACTTCACCTCTCGTGCCCCGTCAGCACCCTTGGCAGCAGTGCAGCATCAAGCGAGAGCACAGCAGCACTTCCGCATTGCCAGCGCTGGCCAGAATGCCTGGCCTGGGCTGCCTCACTTCCTTTATGGAAGTGGCAGCCTGCTGCATGCTGCGTGTGGCCTGGCTGGAAGCTTCTGGTAGCTTCCGATTGGGCCCCAGACCCTGTGCCCAGGCCGAGACTTACAGTTGAGGGCCTGGGCCCTTTACAGTTGGGCGCGGCCTGAGTCTCCGGACTTGGGCTGTTAGCTGCATCTGCGCAGGGCCCCCAGGTAGGTGCGTCGGCTGTACTGCTTTTCCAGAGGCCGACGGCCTGCTTCTCAATGTATCGGCCCTGCTTTATGTGTAGGTGCCCAGGCACAACTTTCGTGGCCTGGGCCAACTGTACGGCGCAGCTTAGTGAGGCTCGCGCGTTCACTCAACCAACTGACGCGCTGCAAGAGCCTGAATACCCACATATGGAAATGTCGAATTTGGCCTGTGACGAATATTCAGGCCCACCTTCACTTAGGGCGGGCACTTGGCTTGCTGGGGCCTTGGCCCAGAACAATGTGATGTCTGAAATGGCCACTTGAGGGCTTGTTCCTCACACCGGTCAGTTCAATGATTATATCTCAGGGCTGTTGCCAAAAGGAAGGCGGAAGTGCAAGGACACACAAGGCCCATATGGATCAACAGTACGCATGTAACTGTTAGTAAACAGGTCATGAGCTCAAATGGTGATGGAATCAGTGGCGGCCCGGTCCAAACCCCTCCGTCCACTTCTGGGGTGTTCCCCCTTTCAAAACGTGGCACTCCCGTCCAACATAGTACTGTACCTAGCTTCTCCGTTTATGACGTGCAGAGAGAGGGATCCCCTTTTCCGCCTCCTCCTCTCATTTGTGCCGAAGGAGATGCCATGACAAGCAACTGCTTGGTTTCACTAGAAAAAAAGATAGAAGGCACAAACTTCCCTTCTTTCCTTTTCTTTTTCCTCGTCGTTTTTATTTTATTCTTAAGGGTGATGACATTAAGATCTCATCATTGAAATGACCGGTCACAGGTAATTCAGAGTGATAGTGTTCTGTTCATCTGATAGGATTTGAACTTGAATCTGTATTTCAACAGTTCTTGAGTGTAATAACTGAGCTATACCCGGATGGTGAAGGCACAAACTTTTGAATCATTGCAAAGGCACAACCCTCCCGAGTATAATTCATCTCTGACGGACAATTGCTTGTTTTCACTGGAAAAAAAAAGGCACGAACTTTCACATCACCGCAAGGGTACCACCGCTCCCGGTACTGCGAGCAGGGCCCCGGAGATGGGGAGTCGAGCATCCCGGAATCGTGGTATATGGGCACATTCTGACTCCCCGGCATTACGTGCAGGCAGACCTCGCCGCCTAGAGCCGGAAAATCTGAGCAGATTGGAAGTGCCGACAGATTGGGCGATCTACGTAACCAGTAGGTGGGTGTACGGTAGACTGTTAGGCGTAGCAGTACGTATGGACGCAACCTAGCACACATGATAATTGCAGATATGCCTCTCCTCTATGGCATATTTCCACAAATCTGTCAGAATGCACCTGGCTGACATGCTGAGCACGGGCCCCCTGGGTCTTTGTTTATCTGGTTCCATCTGGATTCGAACTCAGGTTTGCAATTCAACAGTTTTTTTGTGTACCAACTGAGCTAAGCCCCTTGGTACGGGTCCCCTGGGTCTGCATGCCAAGTGCCTTGCCCAGTTTCCTTCTCAGGGCACAGTCACACTAGCATTTTTTACTTATTTCCGGACGGAATTGTGGCCAGATACATACAGGTCCGGCCGTGGATGCAGTCAGATATATTCATGGCAGTGCTCGTGTGAGTACGCCGTGACACAGGCATTCCTGCGGATAAAGTGCAGAGGCATTCTATCAACACCAATAATTGCATGGGATAACACACCATAACAGTTGCTATTACTCAATATTCTCCCTTTTCTTTTATCTGTGTGTGTGTGTGGGTGGGTGGTGGTGGTGGAGAGAGAGAGAGAGAGAGAGAGATTGCCCACCTCCAGACGCTCGACTCGAGGAATCATCTTGTGTGTTCGCGCTGAGTGATAATTGTACATCGCGCGGATCCAGGTACAAATGGATTTGCAGGCCATAGAGATACGTCCCACCTGGTCTGGTTGGAACCTCGGATTCTCCATGTATGGCTTCAGCTTGTCCACAATTATGTCATCCATTTCATCCTTCTCAAAGCTCAGCAACATTTGAACAAAATTTACCTTCACACATATCGTTCGCAGTGTCAGAGCTAAACACGCTGCCAATGCAGCAGTCAAAATCCTTGTCGTTCATTCCTGATTCCTACTTTGCTATGTATCAATCGTCATCCTTTGTTTGAAAAATTGTTTCCGATTCCCACTTTGTTATTCTTATTTGAACTTTGAAGTTATTTCCATTGCAAGGAACCAATCATGCTTGAAAGCCGAGTGGAAAGCAACATTAACACAGCAGGACAATGGTTAAAAACCGAGCAGGAAAAAAAAAAAAAAAAAAGAAGGTTGAAAAGCGAGCGGAAAGCAACGGTAACAACTGAAAACTTAGGACTTCCTTCCCTCCATAGAGTGGGCAAAGTTTTAAAATTTTTCTCCCTTTTTGAGGTGACATAGGTGGGCTGAGCTGAGCAATCAAAGCAATACAAATTCGCAAAGAACCGTCTTCTCGAGTGTGTCCCTCAACCCCTTTTCTCCCCCCCTCCCTGGGACGTTGGCGCTACTGCACCACTTCCCGCCATCTGTTACTTGTTGTCTTTTTGAGAGGGGCAGGGGTGTTGTTGCGAGGGACACAGGCTTTCCGCAAGGGTCAGTGCGCGGGAGTGGTCTCCTTGCAGGGGAGTGAAAAATCAGTCCTTTGGCCTTAAGCGCCACCCCCCTTCTGTAGTAATCCATTTTTTCCATGTGATCTTCCCATTCCCGCCGACCTTGCACATTTTCTTGCCAGGGTATATCCACATGGATGTGAAGGGTATCCAGTACTATCCACCGTTTTTATCATCGTGAAACTGACCGGCCCTAGATAATTCAGGAATTCTGTTCATCTGGTTCCATCTGGATTTGAACACAGGTCTGCATATCAGCAGTTTATGGGTGTACCAACTGAGTTAAGGCTGCTAAGCACATTGCGTCCACCCTTTCTTTTTGTTTTTTGTGGTGGGTCTGTAGACTCTGTACAGTTGAGGCCATTTTGGATTTCACAGCTTTCTTCCTTCCTTGAGATGGTTCATTCTCAGCGCGTCAATTATTTCTGCTTTAGCCTGTGTGCAATAACCCATACCATATGTCTCGTGGAACTGAGGGTCATCAGAGGGCCTACTTGGCCGCCCTCAGCCCAGGCCGAACAAGGGCAGAAAAGGCCCTTCACGAATTCAGGGCCTGGGCGTGTGACAGTTGACTTTAGTCAATTGTCGGTCCACCCAACAGTCAAATTCCAAAGGTACCTAGCCCAGGCCGCATTTGTTTGTATGCAGGTACCCAGACAGCATCAGGTCCAAGGGAGAAGTCTGCAACTGTACAATCCGGGCCTTCAGCTGTGAGTCAATCTGGACGACTGAGGCGAAAAGCACCGAGGCCAGACAGCCTCACCTATTGCTACTTAAGGCTGGCCTCGAGGGAGTCAAGGAATTCAGTCTTGCTATGCTGCTTTGACGCTGGCTCGACTTTGACACGACGCTGGCTTCATGCTGGCTGTGCGCTAGCGTTGCGGACGACGGCACGAGGTGGAGGCAGCATGCTGGCGTTTCTTCAGTGTGCCATGCCATGCTGACGTGGCGTTGCCTCTGGTATACGTGGTGCTGCCTCTGGTCTACGTGGCATGCTGACGTGGCGCTGCCTCTGGTATACGTGGCGCTACCTCTGGTCTATGTGGCATGCTGACGTGGCGCTGCCTCTGGTATACGTGGCGCTACCTCCGGTCTATGTGGCATGCTGATGTGGCGCTGCCTCTGGTATACATGGCGCTACCTCTGGTCTACGTGGCATGCTGATGTGGCACTGCCTCTGGTATACGTGGCACTGCCTATGGTCTACATGGTATGCTGATGTGGCGCTGCCTAAGGTCTACGTGGCATGCTGACGTGGCACTGCTACTGGTCTACATTGATGATGTGGTTATTGCCACCTGTTTTGATAGTTGACGTGGCGTTGTCCACGCTGTCTACATGAGGTGACTGATTGCAAGGAAGGAGGAAGATCGGGATCTGTGGTTGAAGGAGAACAGGTACTCACCTGGATTTGAAGTCGAGACTGGAATCTGCAATGTCTTTATGGTCTTCATGAGATTGAGTGCCACGTGGCACTTCTGTGTGTGATCAGGAATATACTTATTATCATTATTGATGTGGAGAGGGAAGAAGCCCGGGGAAGGAGAGGGTTCAGCAGGGATTATTGTGTGAATCTTCATCTTCTCCTTTGTCTGTTCTCCCTATTAAATTATTTATATAATATCATACTTATCAGATTATTGATAGATTCTTCTTATTTATATTCATTGTATTTCTATTATTTATAATTCTTAGATATCACTTATCTAGATTCATCCTAGGATATAAAAGAGTGGAATATTAATATAATTCTAAAAATGACTATAGATTCTATCTATTAATTATAGAATATAATGAAAATAAGAAAATAGAATACAATAAAAACTGTGAATTGATACTGTTTGATATATTTCTTCACGAATTGGGGATACTGCTGCAGATACTGACTCTTCAGGTATCTGACGACTTCTGAGTATCTGTCAGACTGGGTTCATTACATTTGGAAGTTCCAAGTGTGAATTATTTTCTGTCATTTGAGCATCTAGGAGGGGGGCCAGCCCTCATGAGCTAAAAAAGGTTACATAATTAAATTGCAACGCTGTCCATTGAGGCGGGAAATGTGTTTTCTTGACGAGGAGTATTAGTTTTACTATTTTATATTCCATGGACCATGGGAAGGGAAAGCCTGTGTGAGATCTATAGTCTTCTCCCGAATGCAACGCCCGGTCATTATAGCTGAATTTAGACCGAAAGATACACCAAATTCAACTATAACGACCGTACGTTGTAGTCGGGGGAAGACTGTAGCCAGATTGCATCCCACCACCTTCATAGTTGCAGGGCCATCGGACATTCCGTCTTCACCCGAATAACACGCCCGGTCGGTCATTATTGCTGCAATCTGGTATGAGAGTTGCCCCAAATACAGCTATTATGACCAAACGTTCCATTCGGGTGAAGACGGTTGCAGGCAATGTTCTAGTAAGGCTACTCTTGGGCGGGAAGTCTGGCCACAGCACCTGCCTATCCAGTATCGCATCCCCTTTTGCTCTAGTTTTGCGCGTGATACCTGCCAGCTGGCAGTTAGGACGCAGCAATGGAATATCTACAGTGACTGGAGTGCGCTATAGGCCGTTGGCATTATATGGGAGCAGGAGGACCATGTCAGGTCCTCTGGCTGTGCTCCTTCCAATGGGGAGTCCCTAACGCATCTTTTGATGGCGGCCCGTTTGGACGGGTTAGGCATGTGTGTTTTCTCGTATCCTTCCTTGCCTGTGCACTGCCATAATATAGGCAAGGGGTCACTGTCCAACCATTCCCATTTGTCGGGGTCAAAGGGAAGGGCACATATATGGGTGGTCGCCGCATATGCCAAAAGGCCCTTCTCTTGGTCCCGAACTACTCGTATTCTCATCACTGCATCCCTACGGAGGCGAAAATCCAGGCATTTTTTTTTTCTGCGTAATCCATCTGGCCCCTGGCATGTCTGGGTCATATGCCTGCAGGTACACGTCACCTGGTTCTGAGCTACTCACTTCACATACACACTGGAATCTGCCGAGTAGCTGACCCTATTACCCAATCCCCATGTAGAATAGTTCGGGCCTCCACAGCAGCCTCCCATGCTAGTCGCATGGCTTCTTTCAATGGTCAGTTTTTTTTTTTTTTGAACGGGCGACACCCTTGAGATATCATCGTGGAACTGACTGGGCCCAGGCAATGCAGAAGTTGATTTTGTCATTCATCGTGTGGACTCGAACTTGGGTCTGTATTTCAACAGTTCATGCGTGCACCAACTGAGCTAGTCCCATTGGGTTTTCAGTGGGCAGTTTTCGGCCTCTTAATGCTCTATCTATTGATGAGTTGCACCCTTCGTTGGTGAGGTGAGTTCCGGGAGACCGCCTGCATGTCCCAGAGTTTTTTTTTTTTTTTTTTTTGAGAAAAAGTTTGAAAAAATAGAACCTTATGGCTCTGGCTCCGTATCCATTCTGGGGAGCGCCAGTTCGGTTCCTATTCCACCGGCACGTCCCAGAGGGGTTGTTTTTTTTTTTTCTTTTTTTTTTTTTTTTTTTTTCCTGAAAACAGAACCTCTTGGTTCTGGCTCCTACCATTCTGCGGAGCGACAGTCCGGTTCCTATTCCCCCGGCAAGTCAAATGTGGAATACATGGAAGACCCACGCACGCTCCTCCCCATTATGGCTGGGAGGCCCGAGTGGACGGCATTGATTACTTCCTTGAGGAAAGATGTACCACCCCTTACCCCTGCCAAAGTTAGCCTGTGCTATTTAAACTGCATTGTTGTTGCCAATCTGTCCGACCCCAATCCTGCTCCTCTCAGTTGGGATGCTGTCGGGTTGGTGTGATACGCTAGAGCAGTCTGGAGCGCCTATGAGCCTTTTGAAAACTCTGACACCCTGAACCCTACTTGCCTTGTTTCTGTTGAAACCCTAAACCCTAAACCCTCAGCTATGATTCTGTCGTGATTTACCCAATCCTAGTTCCTAAAGAAGTAAAGCATGTGCTTGCTCTTAAGCCCTAAAGCCTAAACCCTAAGAACTCTTCCTCTCTCTGTTTGGGCTGTGTACCCTTCCTTTCTCTCGGAAGATGGTTTTTACTGCTGCTTTCCTCTGGGCTACCCCCTTTTTTCAGTATTGCTATTTGCCTTCTTCTCGTCTTAAAACCTGAACCCTAGCACTTATGCTACTGTAACCTTACTTAAGACCTTACACTTGTTGTTGGTGAGGTGGATCTGTTAGTATTGATGTTAGCACTTCTCTTTGCTTAACCTTAGAACCTCTCGTTGTCGATTCGTGTAAGTGAAGCTGATGCAGTGTACTGTGTCTTAAGGGTTCTTCTGCTAATGCTAAGTAAGGAGTCTTGTGAGTGCATTGGGTTCTAACGATGGGTGAATTGGGCTGTTCCTGTAATTTTTGTCCTTTGCGAGTACCTAGGGCTAAGTAAGGAGTCTTGTGAGTACATTGAAGGAGTCAGATAAGCTGTTGACTGACCCTTCTTCTGGTTGAATCTCTTGTGGGGCATTTTCCCAGAGTGTGAAGACTAAGCCATGACCTTTGATGAGAGCTATCTTGCCTTTCGCTAAGAAGTTTTCCTCAAATTTTTGTTTGTGTTCTTTGGCTTTGAGTTCGTCGGCTCTCATTGTCCTTCTCACTTTATGCCATGAGACCCAATATTCCGTTTCTACTTGCTGTTGGATCAGGCTCCACGCTTCCTGTGTGTGCATTGGTTGCTTGCCTATTGTTCCTTGGCATCTTTTCCTCCAAATGGCCCAGAGCGCTGCTTTCCTAAGTATTTGGAAGAATTTGTTTTGTAGAGGCAACCAATCTCCAGGAGCTGTGAATCCTAGCGGTTGCAGAGTAGGGTTTATTGTGAATTCTGTGGAGATCGCTGAGTACCAGATCTTTGATATTTTAGCCCATAAGGGTTTTATCCTGGAGCAAAGGAGAAAACAATGGAAAAGGTTCTCTAACTCTTTTAAGGGGCTTCTGTCTTCTTTTCTTCTTCTGACATTCAACCATTGATTCAGGGGGACTGCTAGATATAGTATTAGCCATTGAAGTCTTCTGAATTTGGGGGCCAGTAGGGATGCTATTTGGTTCCAGGGTATCTGGTCAAGATATTCCGGGGCTACTTCTAAATGTTTCCACCAGCGTTCAGCTATGACGGACTCGGTGGATGCTGATCTACATCTTAGTTGGTAACCAAGGCTAGTTGTGCATTGGAGTAGGTTAATTTTGCGGTCGATTCTCGAGATTTTTTGTTTGAAATTCCATGCCCATTCTGCTGGATCTACTTCCAGGTCCTCTAGCGCGGTCTGTGCATGAAAAAGGGTAAGTTCGTCATTTTTTTTTTTTTTTTTTTTTTTTTTTTTTTAAAATGTTTTTTTTTTTTTTTTTTTTTTTTTTTTTTTTTTTTTTTTTTTTCTTCGGCATTTTCTACTATTCTGATTTTCCTAAGTTTGTCTTCTCTAACGGATACCTGTGCTGTTGGTTCTTTGCTTACCTTGCTGACGTCCTGACCTGGTTCTTCCAGCTTATGCATGGTGAAGGTGTGCCAGTTGTTTCTTCCTTCTTCGCTTCTTGAGAAGGCCAAAGCATATTCATGGGGTGTCACATGTGTCATTACTGCCCAGTCACCTATTGACCATTGTCTATCCTTTTTTAGTACTGGTACCCAATTCGCCGGTATGGCATTTATTATTATTTGTTGGAGGTTTTGAGCTAAGTTGTGGCAATCCTTGAGCCTGTTTCCGAGTTGTCTGTCGTTCACCCAATTCTTCTTGTTTTCATGAAATTTCATCGCAAATGTGTTTGATTTGCCAGATCCCTTTTTCTAGCCAGGTACCGCATCTTGAGTCTTTTGTGGCGAGGGTAAATGGAGTTCCTCCGTTGGGGGCTATCCATGGGTTGCAGAAGAGAGGTTGTCTAAGTATTTCTTCCTTGATGCCTGGTAGCCTAAATGCTTCTCTCCATGCTCGTATTATTGTTTTCCGGAGTTTTAGTCTTGGTTCATTTCTTGCCTGCTCTAGGTTTGGGGACCTGCCTTTCATGGACCATGACTTGCTCATTACCCAGAATGTGCCTTCCATGTTCTCTGGTCTGTTGTATATTGGCAGCTGTTGTAGACTCTCCAGGGCCAAGGATCTCCACGGGGTGTTTGGGCTGGTTATTAGCTTTAGGACACCAAAGGTTAACAGGGACCCCCACTATTCAGCCCCAAGGTAACAACCCCTTGGGGTTTAAGGCCCTTTTGATCTTTTTTTTTTTTTTTTTTTTGCTGTTGGTTTATTTGGTGTCCACTCTATGGGCTGGTGACAAGTCTGGCATAAAAGGTATGGAACGTTTGTTAGAATGACCCTGAAAAAATCCTGAAAATTTAGGGCTCTGTTAACCTCTTCTCCTTTAGGATCCACTTAGTCTGAAGGGGGCACGTCCCAGAGGTTGCCAACATAGGAGATCCCTTTTTTTCACCCAGGACAGCCAATTGGACCTTTTCTTTAAACCCCGAGTACTTCCTAAAGTTGTGCCCATTAACAAGCCACAGTTTTAGGAAACGCACGGGCCACTACAGAAGCGCCCAAATTCATCCGACTAGAAACGTTTCTACTCTATTTTGTTTTCCACGGCCGATAGCTGGGCCAAGAAGACCCCATTCACTCAGAGTGCGTATGCTTCCAAACAGCGGTTTCCTCCATATCTCGTGCTATTGTGGTAGCACTGGGCGCTTTGTTGCCCCTGTGTCCCTCCACAGCTCCAGCAGGTTGGGCCACAGCGGATTCAGTCTTTGGTCCCTTCTCGTGCGTTGTTCTAAGGTGCCTTCAATGTCTGATTCCGGGGCGCCCGGGATTGTCTGGTGTGCGTTTGTGGCCTTTCTACCTTCCTAGGTAGCAAACAGACATGAGACATAATTTCCATGTATATTGTCTGATGCAGTGATGGGGAAGCATGTACCACAAAAACACAAGGGGGGCATGAGGGAGGGGGGGGGAGGAGGGAGAGGAATAGAATATGCAATATGAAATTTAATTTATCATCAATCTACTGCTAATATTGGTCTTTTTTTTTCTTTTTTTTTTGTGGAGGCCAATTCCAAAACTTGCACATACCTGGGACAAGAGCTCTCTGGCAACAGGCCAGTAATCCTCAATAGTCTCCATCTTGTTGGGGTTGTCGGCATGTGGCACTCTAACCCTCCTGGGATCTTTCCTTAAGATGATACACAGAGCCTCAAGCACAATGATGAGGCGTGGCGGAGGCTTTGTCAATGACTTGATCTCCGAGATATCCTTTTTGTTCAGAGAACTTAGTTCCTTGATAGCTTTCCGAACCTGGACTCCTTCCAAAGACAGAAATGCCAGTTTTAAGAGGGGGTTGGGGGGGTT